TCAGCATCTTTGTTTTCGGCCCATTTCTTGGCGGTCCCTTAGAAAAAGCTTCTCGACCACCAAGGGGGCCGCGTATTTCACTGTGACAAACACTTTTTTAAAGTAATGATGAGAATCGTTGTAGTTGTACAATTTACACTTTGACCTTGATATGCTTCTTATTTTTGCAGTCATCGGTTCATGTTTTGGATTATTTATTTTTCTGTGTTGGGATTTTATATTTGTCGACTCTGTGTACAAGACATGAACAAAAATACACTACATTTACTGTTATTACATGTCATCCTTCTCTGACCAAAAAATAAATAAATAAAATCCCAGCTCTTTCAGAAAGGCTTATCGTTGACAGAAGGAAGGAAAGGGGTAAACACTTATTGATTCATACAACGCCGCCAGCTAGAAGTTACAGCCGCGATACGCAACCCTTTCTTCACTAAAGTCGATTCTCAATAACGAGTGAAGAAGGCCTCAGGCAGTCATGCATTGCTTTCTGTTCCTAAGGGGACAAACGGGTTATTAGAAACTAGTCCTAGCCCTCACATCACATGGCTTTCTTCTCATACACCTTTTTATTCTCTCTCTCTTGCTGTTGCTTTATTAACAAAACTCTAGAGCTACAAAATGAGGGTTTCCGACATCACCATTCACGTATCCATATACTTACTTGAATGAAGCACCCGCGAACTCTTAAAACCAAGATGGTTCTCGCCTCTTGGACAGATGGCTTAACTGTAGTCGGGGTTATAGCTCTTAAAAATGAGACTTCGAACTTAACTCACATAATATTAAGCGTAATCAAAAACAAAGTACATAATTTTACCCAAATTTAGTTACATTAAGTAATGGACCCAGTTATATTTTTCAACTTTGGTGAAATTTAGTTACACAATGAGATTTCAGTATCATGAGTTAAACATATGATTAGCTATCCCGTTTTGTGTAACATAAATCAAACGACTGACTGACTGAAAAATACTATGAGATATAAGTGATTGACGGAAATATTTTCTGTAAAATAACAATGGTTGACAAAAACATTTGCTGTAAAATAAACGAATGATTAGCGCAAAGATTTGCTGTAAAATAGACGAATGATTGACAAAAAAAATTTCTGTAAAATAAAAGAATGGTTGACAGAAACATTTTCTTTAAAATAAACGAATGCTTGCGGAAACATCTTCTGTAAAATAAACAAATGATTGAAAAATATTATGTGACAGTTAAACGAAGGATATGTTGATTCCATTTTCCGTAACGTAACCGAATGATTGAAACTTTTATAAATCAAATGAGTAATTGATTGAAACTTTTTCTGTAATATAAATTAAGTATTAATTGGAAAGTTTATGTAAGATATATTAGACGATTTTCTGAGGCTTTTTTGTAGCAAGTTAAACGTATGATTTACGTATATATATTCTGTGACATGTATGAATGACTAAGATATTCTTGTAACACAAAGGAACAACTGACTAAGACATTTTCTGTAACAGAAACGAATAACTGATTAAGATATTTTCTGTAACAGAAACGAATGAGTAAGATATTCTTGTAACATAAAGGAACAACTGATTAAGATATTTTCAGTAACAGAAACGAATGAGTAAGATATTCTTGTAACATAAAGGAACAACTGATTAAGATATTTTCTGTAACAGAAACGAATAACTGATTAAGATATTTTCTGTAACAGAAACGAATGACTAAGATATTCTTGTAATAGAAAGGAACAGCTGACTAGACATTTTCTGTAACAGAAACGAATGACTAAGATATTCTTGTAACACAAAGGAACAACTGACTAAGACATTTTCTGTAACACAAAGGAACAACTGACTAAGACATTTTCTGTAACAGAAACGAATAACTGATTAAGATATTTTCTCTAACAGAAACGAATAACTGATTAAGATATTTTCTCTAACAGAAACGAATGACTAAGATATTCTTGTAATAGAAAGGAACAGCTGACTAAGACATTTTCTGTAACAGAAACGAATTACTGATCAAGATATTTTCTCTAACATAAACGAATTACTGATCAAGATATTTTCTCTAACATAAACGAATTACTGATCAAAATATTTTCTCTAACAGAAACGAATGACTGATTAAGATATTCTTGTAACATAAAGGAACAGCTGACTACGATATTCTTGTAACAGAAACGAATAACTGATTAAGATATTTTCTGTAGCTGAAACGAATGATTAAGATATTCTTGTAACATAAAGGAACAGCTGACTAAGCCATTTTTGTAACATAAACGACTGACTAAGATATTCTTGTAACAGAAACCAATGACTGACTAAGATATTTTCGGCTACAAATCAAACGAAAAATTGACTGGAATTATTTCTATAACATAAGCTAGTGATTTACCAAGATATTTTGTTTACCATAAAATAAAATGAAAATAATTATTATATTTCCGTACGTTCGCATTAGAAAGTGACTGTAAACGAATCTGAGTGTTTCAGGGAAGGAGTATTCGTTTCGTGTTTTCTCTTCTCTCCCTTTTATTACTGTACACGAATTGGTTACTGTATCTTTTAACAGAAAGTTGACAATTGTAACGAAGCACACGACGTGATTCAAATGATGTTTTGGAGGAATCATCCTTTGGAAGATAAAAGTTGAAATGTCAGTAAAATTTAATGTTTATTTGGTCACAGTATCAAAATATGACATAATTTTGTTTATGATTATTTACTGCCAGAAAAGTAGGTTTTCAGTTGAAATTATGAGCGCCTGACAGAGATGTACATGTTTAGACAGGTACACAATTAAAGCTCGTGGGTTTAAGCCTTCTAAAAGCTCTTGTTCTTGCTAGAGACTGTGTGTTACCGTTTGTTAACTTAGTAGTGTTTGCCATGGGTTATATGCTGTAGTAGGAGGCTTCATGTTAGTGGTAGAATTGATGAGACCAGAACTGTTGTTCATAGATACTTTATTGATTTATTCGTGTAAATATTGTTGTGCTTTTGTTTACTTAGCTTGAATCGCTTAGAAGTTAAATTGCGAACGATAGGGGTGATCGTGCGATAAGGTGAAGGGCTGTTTGTTTTAAAAAAAACCTTCGTCGTGTGAGATTAAACTTTTAAGCATATAGCAGTTTGAGTCAATGATGGTAATTTACGATGTTCCTTGAGGCCGTTGTTTACATGAAATCAATAAAACTCGTTAAAGTTATGGATGTTAGGAAATTAGTTTCAGTAACCGAATAAGCATATTTTTGCATAGAAATTTTGAAAGTGTAGCAAATTAATCTCATAATAATGGGCGCATCCGTTGAATAAATGGCACCTATTTCTATCGTAGAACTTGAAGTTGATTAGTCCACCACCAGGTGCTCAATTCAAAATGTTCAATTCTCTATCGATTATTTGTCTGTACATGCTGTTACACACATTACACAAGGGGGGTATATTTAGTTAACGTTCTTAAACTGGTCGTGCTCATTAAGGCCGAGGCGTGAACAGCCAGTGCAGTATGGGAAGGAATTGTTTGAAATCCGTGAGTGGTCGAAGAGGAGAGCCTTAGCTTCTGGTCGATATCAAAGCTCCTCCCTCCTCAAATTAAACAGCTATGGAAGAAAAACAACATCGTACACTCTGGTTTTGTTTTTATTGGCCTAATCTCAGAACGGCTGATGTTAACAAGAATTGGGTAAAATTGTTTCTTTACTTGACCTTCAACACGCGACGAATAAAACTGTCGAAATAACGACGCACAAGAGTTGTCCAGATTTTGATACCAGAATTAGGCGTTAGCGTCATTTTGATGTTTATACACGAAACGATGGACCATATCTGTGCAGTAATCTTCAGGCATCAAAATGAAACCGAAATCTTCACGAGACTTCATCCTGTCACGTTTTACCCTGTCAAGAAAATCATTCATGTTTATTTAGTATTTGTAGCTTCGTGTACGTACGAAATACTGCAACCTATAAAACGCATTTTTGTCTTATACTTTACATTTATCTGTGCTGGTACAACTGTATTTGCTATTGTCAATCTATAATGTATGCATCAATTGAGATCATATTTCATAATTAAAATTCATCACGTGGAACACACTTTTTTTGCGTATTTTGAATGGTGCTGAGTCACTCTTAGTTTTGGTTTTCAAGAAGTGACCAATCTAAGGACCCCGTTGTTTGTGCACCTGTCGCTGTTATTAATCGTTACCGGGTTGAAATTTGTATATATATATAGGCAGCTGTGTAATATATATATATATATATTTAACAAAACTAGTCTCATTAGCACGTGCTCGCTTTGCCGTCTCTTGTGTATCACACAACCTACATAATGGCCACCGTTCCATGTTGAAAACAAATACTTAAAACTATACAATTTCCAAAAAATTTACATAGTGCATTAATTAACATAAATTAATGTAGAAATGACTCCAGCTATGGTCATGTTTGCTTGTCCATAGAATGAGACGAGTTGTATTTTCTTATTCCTCCTAAACGAATTTAATAAATTATGTTTGAAGCTTTCTGCAGCCAGCAATTTTACGATATGTATTTTATATCACTTTCTCTCTCTCTCTCTCTTTGTTAACAGTTCTATTTGTAATTTTATGTGTAAAAAATATTACTGTTGATAATGAAAAAAGTTTAATTTAGTTTGTATTACAGGTACTCATAATCGTTGACTTGCTAATTTCAGTAATACAAGTGTGACAGAAAACAAAACAGGCTAGGCTGAAAATTCGAAGGATTCATGTTGTTTTTAATCTGCGCCTGTTATCCCCTAAATTAGCTCAAGCTCAGTTTCAGCTCAGTAAGTTCGTCTTATATTTTCTCAACAAGACGGCGAACCACCAAATTCAAGTTTTGAAAATGTACAATCATAACAATTAAACAAATAACAAGACACCCGATTTCGCTATTTGTTTTATTTTTGTCTCTAGATTTATAGCAGAGTCAACAGGAAACACTTATCAGGGGGGGGGGGAGAAAAACAGAAGAAAAAATAAGCGACTGCTAAGCACTGAAAACCACGAGTTTTAAAATAGATATGACCGACCGTAATGTACTAAAAATGTGCGATGCTAGCTAGTGATCTAAAAGGCCGTCCTGTGGTTTGAAAACAAGGTGGATTCTGCATGTTGCGCAACCCTCGATGGCTCAGCGGCAAACTTGGTGCTTGTAACGTGAACATTCGGGGTTGATCTGTGCAGCTGGCACAGCACAGAAACCCCTATTGTACATCCTATGTTAACAACACATAAGGAAATCTGGATATTGTATTAATTCAAACAGCTGAGTGTCAGCACTACGTTGGAAAGTAAGTGTTTCGGGAAGCATAGGGTAAGATATGTGTGTGTGGTATTGTTCGAGAAGTTGGTGTATTAGTTCGTCTGTATATCGCGTATCTTACACTCTGCATTGATATTTTACAGTGTAAGCGTGGTTTATACAGTAATCATGTTATGTCTTTGTCAATCAGATCGGCACTTTTCATGTGGTTTATACAGTAATCATGCTATGTCTTTGTCAATCAGATCCGCACTTTTCATGTGGTTTATACAGTAATCATGCTATGTCTTTGTCAATCAGATCCGCACTTTTCAAATGTATTAATGATGTCCGTGAAATTTAAAACGCGTGTGGATGAAACTGTATAAAGTTACTTAAACAAGTCGCCCGTGGCGCCACGACGACATACCACTGCGTCAAGGTATCTAAATTATACTGTAAAGAGCAGTTAGCCCTTCCTGTATCATGAAGAGATTCATCAATAGGTAAGGTGTCTTTGAGTCTTGAGTTAAATACATAGTCATGGGTTAGATACACAGGTGACTTTGATATAGTCTTGAATTAGATTCTCGGGTGTCTTTGAGTCTTGAGTTAAATACATAGTCATGGGTTAGATACACAGGTGACTTTGATATAGTCTTGAATTAGATTCTCGGGTGTCTTTGAGTCTTGAGTTAAATATACAGTCATGGGTTAGATACAGAGGTGTATTTGATATAGTCTTGAGTTAAATACACAGTCATGAGTTAGATACACAGGTAACTTTGATATAGTATTGATTTAAGATACAGAGGTGTATTTGATATAGTCTTGAGTTAAATACACAGTCATAAGTTAGATACACAGGTGACTTTGATATAGTATTGGTTTAAGATACAGAGGTGGCTTTGATGTAGTCTTGAGTTAGATATACAGGTGTCTTTTCTTTGGGACAGCCACAAGTTAGAAACACGGGTGTTTTTGAGACAGTCTTGAGTTAGATACACAGGTGTCTGAGACATTCTTAAGTGAGATGTACAGCATACACAAGTGTACAGATTCTATTAGAATGTGCCATCGTTTGAAGTTAAGAATTCCCACCCGCGATGAAGTTAGGTATCTAAAACCGGACATCTAAGAGTAAAATGTTATAATGTGACGGCCAATCCCACTATTTGTTGGTAAAAGAGTAGCCCAAGAGTTGGCGGTGGGTGATGATGACTAGCTACCTTCCCTCTAGTCTTTCACTGCTAAATTAGGGACGGCTAGCACAGATAGCCCTCTTGTAGCTTTGTGCGAAATTCAAAAACAAACAAAGAGGTTAAGAGAATTAGATATACTATTTAATGTAATCTGTCATTTTTGTATACTGTTATGGACTTGTGGTATATGAAGAAAATTGGTGTGAGTATTTTTGTCATATGATTACTCTATACATATTAAAACATTTGTTATTTAATGTGTTGATGTACGAAGGGCACATGTTTTTAAGTGAGAGGTCAGAGCTTGCTTGGAAGATTCTTTCATTACTCTGGATCCTGTACTAAGTCGGAAGTAAACTAGAAGGCTTTTCTTTTGTAGAAACTACAGTTTTTGATGTGATGATGACTGAATGAGATTATATTCGAATTGGACAAACTGACAATGAATTTGTATGTAAATTAACATTCTGACATTAAACCCACTTATGACCTCTTACGCAACCGTTCTTGCTTGTATCCTCTTGTTGCAGGCATGATGTAGGACAGCGGTAAGTCTACGAACTTACAACGCTAAAGTCCGTGGTTCGATTACCCGCGGTGGCCTCAACAGATAGCCCAATATGGCTTTGATCTAAAACTTTTCGCTGCATAATAAATAAAACATTAACTATTGCAATTCTACAAGTTCTCGTTACTTCAGTTTTTTATAATAAGGATGGGTTTTTTTTCACTAGACTACTTCTAAATAAAAAGATGATAGTAAGGCCAAGTTTGGCAGCCATTCAGATATATCTTTTATCAAGTAATGGTCTTTTTTAATGAAATAAATATAAATAATCTAAGAAAAAAAATTCCTACGTTCTTATAGATCTAAACACTTACTTAGAAAATGACACAAACAAACATAGGTTATTTAGCTTTCACACATTAATACTGGTATGGAATTAACTTTGTGACGATAAAAGATAGCAAAAGTTGGACACTTTTCTAAGAAATTTTATGAACAAGAATTATTTCTCCCAGACGATTGCATACCAATAGAGGGCACCACTGCGCAAAATAGCAGAGTTTTATTGATTAATACTCTTCTGAACGCATCAGTTTAAAATTGGAATATCAGATATTATATTAAAACCAGGGCCCTGACTACTGCAGAAATGTGATATCGTAATGTCAGCGTGTTTCCTAAGATGTTGTGTTTTTTATGAACCTGGCAAATATCACGAAGCTTATGAAGCTGTCAAGCAAACATACGTGCAACTGTTGAGTACTAGAAAAAGAAACGTAATTTATTCCTGTATTGTTTGACCTGTTTGTTCAAAGCAAGTTAATATTTCATGAGGAATATTATAAAAATATTTCTCATATAGTCGAATATCTGTGATGTCAAAAACAAAATAATAAAACGCATTTTTTTTTATACGGTTAGACCGAAATAATTTAATTTTGCAGTGCGTATGTATGTATGTCTGTTTGTCTGTTATACACACACACACACACACACTTTTGTATTATTATTATTAGGTAACATCACTGTGAGGTGGACATCCACATACTACTGTAATTTGGTACATCAAACTTAAAATTTTACACACAGATACTGCGTTTGAAGTCAAGTATTAAATACTGTTAACCGGTAAAACATAATTTTTATAAGGTGTTATCCATATTCCGGTATATATGTTTTAGTATTTGACACAAATTTTAATTTCATACGCCAAAAGTAGTTCAATATATATTTTTTCCTGTCAATAGGGTACGTAATTTTTACATTTCTTCATGATCAAGTTGCTTTACATTGGATTAGTGAGATAATACATAATAATAAAATATTTTCCAAACCAACTGTAATGTTGGGATAATAAGCGTTATGTCAGTTTTACTGTGTGCATTTTGCTTAGAACTGATATTAAACTTGATTTAAATAGCTTACAGGAGATAACGTTTCCATTTTTTGTATATTTCATATCATTTGAAAATAACCTGTAAGAACTATTACATCAGCGGGCTTACAAACTGCGAAAAATAAAGAAGAAGGATTCCAAATATGGCAGCTACATTATATATGTTATAGTTATTTCATACTTATTAAATATTGTTGGCTATCACGTGTAGTAAATGTGTTATTTTTGCACTGTTAGCCTCTCTCGGGCTTGGCATGACCTTGAGGTTAGACCAAAAGGAGGCCTGAATCAGCCAGAATCGTAACTACAATTATAGGAAAATGACTGTAGGGGCGCATCACATCACAATATGACAGATAATCAGTTAACCACATTTATTTTTTCTACTGGCACAGTCTATAGGCTTCAATTAAGAAGAATTGTTAATTAATGAAAATCCTCTGGACCAGTAAAAAAAAAGATGAGATTATAGTTGTCAGTTTTGTTATCATACACTATGTGTACAGTATATCTATATGTTCAAAGTCTTTGGTCTAACACAGTAACTCTTGTGTTTAGACTAGTAGATACGTCATAACATGCTGCAGGTCATGATGATGACTTGCACAAAGAACTATCGGAAAGACTGAAGAAATCAGCCGTAATTATGGATAAATATATGGCATTCCTAATATAATGTATTAGCGGAAAGACTGAAGAAATCAGCCGTAATTATAGATAAATATATGGCATTCCTAATATAATGTATTAGCGGAAAGACTGAAGAAATCAGCCGTAATTATGGATAAATATATGGCATTCCTAATATAATGTATTAGCGGAAAGACTGAAGAAATCAGCCGTAATTAAAGATAAATATATGGCATTCCTAATATAATGTATTAGCTGGGCTCGGCATGGCCAGGTGGTTAGGGCGCTAGACTCGCAATCTGAGGGTCGCGGGTTCGAATCCCCGTCACACCAAACATGTTCGCCCTTTTAACCGTGGGGGCGTTATAATGTGTCAGTCAATCCCACTATTCGTTGGTAAAAGAGTATCCAAAGAGTTGGCGGTGCGTGGTGATGACTAGCTGCCTTCCCTCTAGTCTTACACTGCTAAATTAGGGACGGCTAGCGCAGATAGCCCTCGTGTAGCTTTGCGCGAAATTCAAAACAAACAAACAAACGTATTACCTGAAAGAGTGAAGAATTCAACATTAACAACAGATAAATTTAAGGTATTCCTAACATATGGTATTACTGAAGAAACTAACATTGACTGCAGATAAATGTAGAATACTTTGAACATTTATTTTGTCAAGCGGTCTATAGGGTAGCATTTATGTATACTGTAAAACAAAGATTAACTACCATAATTTTGAAAGTGCTTACGTTACGTTGTAGTAAATAACACGTGGCAGATAATTAAATTATTAAGGTGTGGCATTACTTATCTGGGCTGGTTAATACAAACATTTCTAACGTATCAAATATTTCGCAATAGATGTAAATATTGTCTTAAAACTATGGTTGCAAGGCTGAGAAATATGTTGTTATTTAATGCATTACGATACATTTATTTTAAAATGATCCCTTGCTATTTTAAACGGGGTAGGGTGGCTGTTCGTTGCATAGTTAAGCTTCAAGTATTGGGGAATAAGTTGTTAGTTGTTTACTCACTTCAGTAGGATTACCCCTGCGACTTTAATTTTTAAGTGGACTTGCAGGATTCTCAACCGTTTAGGAGTCATTAAAGTATTGCTTTTAAGGCGTGTCCTGAAAATATTGAAATTTGTATTTTACGTAAATCCTTTGGAATGTAAATTTGTTCCTGCCTGCCAAATAAAACATTAAATGTTGACTATTTTCTACAAGAGTTTTCAGTTTCCTTGTAATGTTTCTAGGTGGCGTTCAATTTACTGTATTTAGGTTTATGTAAAACTGTCCTTTGGTGTTGTACGTGT